GCAGATTCCAGTCATTTTGTGCGCAACTATTTTTAGCATTATACACTATATATGTGCTTTCTCATACCCTTACCAGCCCACCCAGAAACGATCGGCAGGCGAGCCGCGTGGCGTAAGGAAATGTACCATGCTGTGGAACAGCCGCCCAGAAGGATCCGTGTTTGGGTGTTCTTGGGGTTCTCTTGGGGCTTCGTTGCGGACAGCCAGGGAAGGAGGAGGAGGAGGAGGACCAGGAGGACAAGGAGGACAAGGACGAGGAGGAGGCGGACGAGGAGGACGACCAGGGCAAGAACGGAAATGAGGACGAGGACGATAAGGAGAAGGTCGAGCAGGAGGAGGAGGAGGAGGAGGACGACGACGACGACGACGCGGAGGGGGAGGAGGACGACGACGACGGAGGCGAGACGAGAAACGAGGACGTTGACGAAGAAAGCGAAAAGGAGGAGGAGGACAAGGAGGAGGGGAAGGAGGAGGACCAGTGCAAACCCAAATGTCATCATTGATGTTGGAATATACCTTCCGTCCAAACTCCCTCTTGATATGCCTTTACAAGGACGTATGCCCACTGAGGGAAGTGCCCTGTTGGGAGCGAGCCGTTTGAAGAACCTTAAGCGTACCAGAACACCGTGTTCATGGCTTCAACGCCACGAATCAATTTGAATGCTGCGTCTTGACGACCCTGATCCATGCCAGAACAATATCTCTGGGCTTTCAACACCACGAATCAACATAACTGCTGCGCTCTGACGGTCCTGAATCGCTCCGGAACACAATTTATGGTGCGTTAGCCGTGAGAACCAGTGAGACCCTCGCATTTGTTGAACGAATTGCACGGCGCAGTGGCGGGAGTCACAGTTTGACGAGGAACCGCCCTCAATCTTTGAAATTGTTGTAGATTGTCAAAAACGAATGTGTACGGCGCTAAGGCGAGAGACACATGTTGAAAGGAGCTGCCCTCGATCTGCGAAACTTGCGCAAAAGTTTCCGAAGGAATGTGCGCGGCACTACGGGGAATGCCACATTTTGGAAACGACTTGTCCTCAATTCTTGAAGCTCTTACAAGGTTTTTAAAACGAATGTGCGCGTCGCTTTGGCGAGAGCCACATTTTGGAAGCGGCCCGCCCTCCATCTGTGAAGTTGCTGCAAACGTTTAAGCTTGAGGCTTTTAAGTGGTAAGGGAGTCTGAGGCGAAACGACAGGCCCGCCCTTCCAACTGGCCTCGGGGTGCGACAGGGAGGAGTTGCTCATAAGGAAAAGTTAACGAGGACGAGAACTCTTGGAGTCTCCTGGGGGTCTTCTGCAGGTTTCTTTGGATCCTCTTCGGGCCCTCCTGGGGCTCTTGTGGAAGGTTCTGGGGTCTTCACGGGGCTCGTTTGAAGTGACTTGGGGCCCTCTGGGGGGTCCTCTTGGGGACCTTTGGGAGCCCTGGAGGCCCTCTTCGGGCCATCCACCATCTTCGGCTCTCTTGAGCCCGCTCTGGACCCACGGTGAAGCATCGGAGGCCCTCTTGCAGCCATCTTGGACGCTCTGGCCGCTCCGTCCGGGGGCTCCAACACCTCAGGGAGGAGAGAGGGAGGGCACCCCTCCCAGAAGGAGAAGAGTGTTGTGGAAGAGGGAAGAAAAATCGTTAGACCACCTACGCCCAGAGGGCCGGTAGGATTTTCTCCGGTCTGAGCCCGCCGCGCGGGCCACAGGCTGAAGCCCAGCCACGGTGGTGCAAGATTCGCGCGCAGGTTCGCGTCAGGATAATTCCCGCTAGAGGAAAACTAAAGACTTCTTCTTCCTCCTCACCTTCACATCATCATCATCACCATCACCATCACCATCATCATCATCATCATCATCATCATCATCATCATCATCATCATCATCAGCATCAGCATCAGCATCAGCATCAGCATCATCAGCAGCAGCAGCATCATCTTCATCTTCATATTCAGTACCAGAAGCAGCGCAATTGTCGTCCATCATCATCACCACCATCATCATCAGCATCAGCATCAACGGTAGCATGAGCATCATCATCATTAGCATTATCAGTATTTCATCATCAGCAGTATCAGCATCATCATCGTCATCGTCATCATCATCACCATCACCATTATCATCATCACATCATCATTGGTAGTCATTCCTTCGGCCTTCTCTTCCGCCCCCCTTCCTCCTCGCTCACATCATTATTCTCCTCCTCCTCCTCCTCCTCCTCCTCCTCCTCCTCCTCCTCTTCCATCAAGACCCCTTCTCCTGCTCCACACTGGGCGCCTGAACATCGCGGCGATCCACCACATTCCGCTTCAGGCCGCGAGGCTTCTCCTCCACTCACCAGGCCGCGTTCCCCCAAGGGCTGAGGCGTTGGATGCACGCTCGCGCCCTGAGAATACACCCGAGACAATCTTCGCTCCCATCAAATCGGCCCCAGATCTCTCCTGAGGTTCGTTCTCGCTTCAATTTTCGGGGTGGATCCAGCCGTGGCGACGAGCAGCTTTCCCGAGGCCCAAGAGGGCCTAGAACCTTCGATCTCGAAATCCGAGCCTCGATCCTCGAAGGTAGATCCCCCTGCCCCCGAGGACATGGGAGACTGGATGCGCCAGATCTCCACTGGCACGGCGCACTCGTACCGGCCCTCCGCGGCAGAGATCAAAGTATCCCCCCCCGCGGCTCCGTCGTGTCATGAGGGCGAGAGGACGAGCAGCATGGAGAATCAGCTCATCGCTGGTCGTTTCATCCCCCCCCTTCCCAGACCCCCTCACGTCTTGAGATAAAATCCGACGGAAGGGATGGGGCAAGTGTCGGCCTCCGGGGGCCATTGCCAGGACCCGGGGCCGGCAAAAACTGGCCGAGGATGAAACACTTGTTTTGGAGAAGGAGTCCAGCGCACTTGGAGTCCAGGCTGTGACAGATCAAGGCGTTGAGGATCTGAGATCGTCCATTGTTTTTCTTCCCCATGCTTCTTATCCTCTGCCTCCTCCTCCTCCCACCTAACCGAACAGGAGGTCCACGCGGGCTGCTGGGGTCGGCGTTGGAGCTACCGGGCCCTCGGCGGCGCTTCCGGCGCGCCCGCGCCGACCCGAGAAGTCCTCGGCGGACTTCCGAGAGCTGTCTGCGGGTCGCTTCCCTTCCTCCTGCTCGTGCTCCCCGTGGGCGTCGCGGGTGCCGCTGCCGGGGGCTGCCCTTCAGCTCCGGGCCTCCCGGGTGGGGTCCGAGCAGATGCGGTCGGAGGCTCGTCGACGCATCGCCGATGCATCGGCGATGCGGCTCGATGTGGGGCCCGATGTTCTCCACGCCGACGTCGGCGATGCATCGGCGATGCGTCGCGTCGATGCGGCGCGATCCTCCGACCCAATCTACTCGGGCCCCATCTGGGAGGCCTCTATCAGCCTGGCCGCCCCCGCGCGCTCCCCGCGGCCCCGCCGCGTGACCGTGCCCCCGGTTCCCTCCCCTTCCCTCTGCCGCCGCCCTCTCTTCTCCTTCTTTCCCCTCTTGCGTGCGAGCAAAGTCGCGACTCCACTGCCCAGAGTCGCTGCTCGCGCGAGCGGATTGCCTCCGCCGCACCGCGACGGAAGAAGTTTCCGCGGGTGTTGTACGGGAGAGCCTTGTGCAGGTGGTCCAGAGTTGTTTGGGCATGCGTATTCCCGAGTTGAGTCTTCCAGATTCCATGGCAAGCCGATTTGCTCGGAGATGCGGGTCGGCCATGGGCCATTGTGTCAGGTTGCTGGAGTTCGTCTTCCAATGGCTTGTCCCCAACGGGGAAGACGAGGCGAAGGTCAATGGCGCCCTCGCAGCAGGAGAACCCAAACAGCTGCACACGGCTACGATCGGGGGCCACGCTGGGTGGCCGCGACGGGGGGATTTGGACCTGGATCGGGGTAGGGGCAAGGTGGGGGTAGGGAGACAGGACTAGGAATGTGGGGACGTGGGGACGTAGGGATGACATATATATATATATATATATATATATATATATATATATATATATATATATATATATATATTCCTCTTTCTATATTTTTACAAGCCCGGGCGGCCGCAAAACCCCGCACCCCCCCCCCCCCCAAACCGGACTCCTGGGATCCTGGGGCTTTGGGACCCTCCGGACGCCCATTGAAGCGGTCCCGAGTGCCTCAAGAGCGCTCCAAGACAGGCACAAAGCGCTCCAAGACGCCAAAGATAGCCCCAAGACAGCCTCAGGAGCCCCCAAGACGCCCCAAGCGGCCCCAAAGAAGCCTCCCAAGACGGCCCCGGGAGGCCGAAATGGTCAATTTTCCAATGTGTTTTTCGATGTTTTCTGCTTTCTCGCCATTTTAGCTTTCCGACGCTCCAAGACAGAACTAGAGGCCCTCAAGAGCGCCCCAAGATGGCCCGGGGGGCCCCCAAAACGGCCCCAACACGGCCCCAAGACGGCTCTGGAGCGCCCCGAAACAGCCCAAGAGGCGCCCAAGAAGGCCCAAGAGGGCCCCGAGAAAGCTTCAAACGAGCCCCCACAGGGCGTTCAAAAGTACAAACATCTAACTTTCCGCCCCAAGTGGGCCCCAGGAGGCCCCAGGAGGGCCCCAAGAGGCCCCAAGAGGCTTCCAAAGGCCCCGAGGACTCCCAAAAAGAACCCACGAGGCCCCAAAATGGCTCTCCAAAAGGCAGCCAAAACGGCTGCCGCCCCTGCCTCTGGCCCCCCGCTCTCGGCTTTCGGGCAGAGGCCGCCCGCGGGGTTGGGCGGTTTCTGGAGCGGCGCCTCTCGGTGCGACGCTGACAAATTGCTTTGCCGCTCCCCGACGGCACCTTCATTATCCCTCTCCCTCCTCCTCTTCCTCCTCATGATCTGGCAGTCCTTGGAGCCGCAGCCCCCTGGTCTGTTTCCATATGTGATCGCAGGGCATCTCCGTTTGTCTCACCCCCATGCTCAAGTCGAGACAGCACGCCGCCCCAATGCGTGCCTTACCTTACCTTACCTCATGATATTCCTCCCTTCGCCGCGCCTCCCTAAATCGTCCTCCACTTCTTTCCCGCCCCTTCTGTCCGACGTTTTGTCTTTCCGGAGCCTCCACGGCCGCTCTCATCGCCGCTGATCGGTCCGCTGGGACATTCTCATGGAGTCCCAGTGGCGCGCGGACCAGCAGAGCGAGGGCGCGAGCAAGTAAGGTGCAGGTCCGGGAACTGGGCGCGAACCGGCCGCGGTTCAAAGACCGTGGAGGGCCGCGCTAGACGCCAACGCGCGCAAGGGTTGAAGGACCAAGGTGCATGGCGCGAAGCGCCAATGCAGTCTTGTATATATATATATATATATATATAAAAATACAAGACTGCAATGGCGCTTCGCGCCATGCACCTCGGTCCTTGAAGTTCGGTATGCAGGCGGAAATGGCAGGAAGGTCAAGCCGACAATTCAGCGATAACGCCTTGCTGCCTTTTCTGGCATCGCCGTTGTAACAATGTTGTTCGTTATCCTTCCTCCATGCTTATTGTTCCTCATTCTCGCCATACCCTGGGCATTCTCCCCATCCTCCTTTGCTCTTTTTGCGGAGGCTCCTCCTTGGAGAGCTTCTGGGGGCCTCACCAAAGTTCTCAGGCTTTCTAAAAGCCTTCTGGAGGCCTCCTGGGTGTGTTCTGGGGGCCTCTGGGGCTTCCTACGGCCAACCTGCCTCTAACCGCGGTCTCCCTGAACGCCCCTGTTACGATTTGGAACACTTCGGAGGGTGTCTTGGGGCCATCTTGGGCCGCCATGGTGCTCTCTTAGGGCCATGTTGGACTCCTGTTGTGCCGTGTTGGGGCTCCCTTGGACTGCCTGGAAGCCATTTCGGATGGTTGTGGGGCGATTTGGGAGCCTCCCAGGAGGCTTCGGACGCCTAGGAGACCGCCGTCTTGGAGCGTCGGGAAGCCGAAAAGAGGATAACCCCAAATGCACCAAAAACCTACATAGAATCAATGATTTTTCCCTCTTGGGCCTTCTTGGGGGTGCTCTTGGAGGCCTCTTGGTACGTTTTGGAACGATCTTTCGGGGCATGACGGCTTCTTGGAGCGCTCTTGTGCTGTCTTGGGGGTCTCTGGGACGTCTCCGGTGACCCCCCTGATCGCCGTGGGTGTGCTGCGAAAGCTTGGCAAAACGCCCTGCGAGGCCCAGAGGGCCGCTTCGAGGCCCGTCCGGAAGGTCCCAAAGCTCCAGATCCCGGGGGTCCGGTTTTGGGGGGGGGGGGGGTGACGGGTTTCCCCCCGCCCGGGTTATAAAAATATAGGAAGAGGATAGATATATATATATATATATATAATATATATATATATATATAAATATATGTATATATATATATATATGGATCTGGGGACCTAGGGATGGAGATCGGAAACTTGGATCCAGGTTCTAGGATAGGGACAGTGCCAAAGGCGCACACGGGTAGGAACAGGGGCGGGGGCGGCAGCGGGAAGGCCACGGGAGGCAGCGGGAGGCCACCGGAGGCCACCGGAGGCAGCGGGGGGGCAATGTGAGGCCACGGGAGGCAACGGGAGGCCACGGGAGACAACGGGAGGCCATCGACGGCAGCGTCGCCCGCCCGGTTGCGGATCGGGCAATCTGCCAGCTAGCTTCGTTGAAAAGAGGTGTAGTCGAGGTCTTCTGTGGTGGGTTCTCTGATTGATTCGCTTGAACGGCTTGGCATCTTTTCAATGCCATGTGAGAAGCCCATGCGGCAGTTCAAACGGTGGCTAGCATGAGACGTGGAAAGCGCCCAGGCTTTATATGCAGGCTCCAGCTGGACGAGGCGGAGGAGAAGAAGGAGGCGGACGACGAGTTCTGCAGCAGGAGGCGGAAAGAGGAAGAGCAGGAGGTCGGAGGGAGGAGTAGGGGCAATTCGTCCGGCAATTCCAATGCACAACTCCTCAATGCCATCCCAGTGTCAACACAGCACAGCGTGCGTATGTGAAAGCATAGCCATCTTTGATGGTGGATATATATATATATAGAGAGAGAGAGAGAACGATGCATTTAAACGATGCATATGCACACACAAGTGGTACATGGGTGCCCAGGTTCATACACAAGGAAGTGCAGCTTGGAAGCATCGCGGGAACTTGACCAGAAGAGGAATATGAAGTCGGATCCGAGGAGGAGAAAGAGGGGAGGTGGAGAAGCAGAGGAAAACGGCGAGAAGAAGGAGATTGAGGATTTCCAGGGGGGTTGTTGGGAAGGGGGCGCAACAGCGGGATCGCAGTCGACCGCAGGTGGGGTTGATACACCTTGCGATGTGTGTGTGTGGCGCAGCAAGGTGTCCCACACCTTGCGATTGAAGTTCAAACGGAATTTGGAAGCCAATGTGTCGAGCATGTCTCGAGCAACATTGCCAGTCTGAATAATATGAGGATAACTTTGAGTACGTCGGATTTCAATTTCGGGGGCGAGGGTATCGCGGGAAACGGTTGCCTTTCTAAGCGCGGCATCCAACATCATAGAAAAAAACAGTGTGTGTGCTTGGGTCGTGAAAATCCGTTGTGTGTTTGGACCGTGACGTCGCGATCTGCGAGAGGGGTGCGTCCGATTTTCAGAATTGTGATGATGTCTCGAGCGAAACAGGTAGGCAAAGAAACACGGCTTCACGATTAGTCGTGTCTGAGCTCTGGTTTCTCGGAGAGGTGCGTATGACAATACATGTGTATAGATTAATAGATACACGCATTCCCCGCTGCCTGCGGCAAACCCCCGCCACCGTGTCTGTACAACAGCGCAGCGGGAATGAAGTTGAGTGTAGGAACAGCGCAATTCCGACGAGTGGTCTGGCAAGGACAGGTCGTGAACTCGACCTCGTCTTCGCCCGCGCGGTAGGAAGGAGGTCAAGGTCACACCCCGCGGTTGTTCAGCGAGTGTTCTGAATTGGGGAGGGCCGTGAATTCAATATCGTCTTCGTCCGAGCGGTAGGAAGGAAGAGGAGAAGGAGCAGAGGGAGAAAACTAGGACGAGGTGGATAAAGTTTCTTGGTGCCCTCTTGGGGCCCCCTGGGGGGCCTCCTGTGAGCCTCCTGAGGGCCTTTATGGGGGCCCTCGGGGGCCTCCTGAGGGCTCCTTGGGAGCCTCTTGGTATTCTTGGGCAGTCTTAGGGGATCCCCGGCCCGTCTGACGCCTTCGGAGGCCCTCATGGGGGCTTCCATGGCTGTACGGGCCGTCTTGGCCGCCCCTGGAGCGCTTCAGGGCCGTTTCGGGGCCCTCTTGGGAGCCCTTGGGGCGATGGTCCTCTTGGGCTGACCTGGGGCCCTCTTGGGGCATCTTGGATTGTCTTGGAGCTATGTTGGAGGCCTCTTGGGCCGTCTTGGGCGGCCGTAAACCCAAACGGGCGAGAGCCTCATCATCTATCAAATGCTTGCGGCACATCAATGGTGTTGGCCGTCTTTGGCTCTCCAGGAGGGCCTCTCGGAGCTCTCTTGGGCCGTCCTGGGGCCCTCTTGAGCTGCCTTGAGGCCGTCTTGGAAGCCTCGTGAGCCGTCTTGAGCCATCCTGGGCCGTCTTGGTGTCAGTTTGACTGCCTTGGAAGCCGTCTTGAAGACCATCTTGGCCGTCTGGAGGCCGACAAGGGCGCCAGATAGCAAATTCATGGGGGGCGTTCTCAGAGGGACGCGCGCGATGAGGGGTGGCGCCCCTAGACAATTTCAAGAAACCTCCCAGGCAGCAAAGGATCATTCCAACACGCACCAACGGGCACAAGGCCTTGTGGCGGATATCATTTCCGATGGAAGAACATGAGCGTGTCACACGCCGTGCCGACAACACCATGAGGCTTCGTTTGCGGAGCCTTCGGCTTCAGCCTAGAAGGTCTGAGTTCGCGCGGCATGGCCGCACGGCCTACTTCACGCGCACTTGCGCGCGTAGAGTCGAATCTGCCTAGCGGTGCCCACTGCAGGTACGCATGGCAAGCGTGGGAGAGGACGACGAGGCCGAAGCTGCCGACGAGGAGGCGGAGAACGGCTGCGGGGAGTCCGCTCCTCTCGCCAGCAGCTCCGCGCTGCCAGGCGGCTCCCCCCGCACGGGGGGGCACTGTCCGCCCCGCCCCTCGGCGGCCGGCCGCCGCACAGGGCAGGGGTGGTCGCAGGGGGGAGTCCAGACCAAGCTTTTCCGCTACAGCGATTACGCATGTCCTTGTCATAGGGCGACGAGATCTATACATATCCACTGCTCCTGGCCAAGCCCATCCTGGCCAGGAGCAGTGGATATGTATAGATCTCGTAGCCCTATGTCAGGGGAGGAAATGCCGCCCAGACCGGACAATTGGCGTTCACCAAACGGCCTTGGGCCTTCACTGGAAGCCCTGCCCTGTTGGATTCCTTCCTTGGGCGCGTTTGCGAAACGGCTTCGCGAGTCGCGGTGAGTATTGTTGGGGTGGATGTTCTGCCCTCTACCCTGGTTGCTTGTCATTGCTCGCTTGCTTGGCACCCTTCGGGTGGTCTTCGTTTGACGTTCCGCAAGGCCCGCACGGACAGCGTTGCACAATGTTTCTAGGGTCCGTCGTGGATCCAACGAAGAAGTGGGCCGAGAACGTAACAAAGGCCACGGCCACTATTCTTCTATGCCGCGTGCGAAGGGAAGTGGGCGGGTGGGCATACAGCACATGCGTGCATCCAATTTCTCGGGCGGCACGCCTCTCAGGATAGGTCGCACCATGAGTGAGACGTACGCGTCCCTGGAAGACAGCAACGATCACCTAGACCCTGCACTGACTCCGACAACAGCGAGGTGACCAAGTGAGCATATGGGTTGATTTGAAGGGGATTCAGTCTCTCTCGCTTCGTTGGCGATTGAAGGAGCATGCTTTCGACAGCAGCCAGTTTGAGGGGGCGTTTTGCGAGATCGAGACCCATCACGGCGTGCTGGTCAACGGCAAGTCAGGGGATCTCTGGCGAGATTGCAAGTGGTTTCTTCAGATTATTACCCCATGGTTTGCTCGTGGAGCCCAAGCGTGTCCTTTCGATGGCAGCGACCAGTCATAATTGCACTTGCGCGCATGGCGCGTCCATCCACCCAAGGTAAGATTCCTGGTGTCAGACACATGTCTGATAGCGTGGACCCCACACAGTAAGTTATGACACTGTGGATGTGCAAGCTCTGTGGTGCCGTCTATGTAATGCCACCTATGCGGTGCAAGTTGTGTGGTGTAGGCTATGTGGTTGAAGTTATGCGATGCAAGCTACGTGGCGCAAGCTATTTGTAGTCGGCTGCGCGGTGCAATCTCTCGTGATAAGTATACACACACACTAAGCACATCCTATATATATACATATATATACATATATATATATATATGTAAAAACAGAGAAACATATGGTGCAAGATCTGTGGTGCAGGCTAGGTGGTGAAAGCTGCGTGGCGCAAGCTCTGTGGCACACGCCGTGCAGCGCACTATGAGCGCCCCAGGGGCGGCCACGGGCGGGCACCCGGCGAAACCTCGCCACGCCCGCCAGGGCGCACGAGGCGCCCACGAGGCGCCCACCCGCGGGCGCCAGGCGGAACCCCGGCACACCCGCCGAGCGTGCGAGGCGCCCACGGGCGCAGCACCGGGCGAAGCCTTGGCACACCCGCCCGGCGCATGAGGCGCCCACGAGGCGCCCACAACACCAAGGCGCCAGCAGAAAACCATCATCATCAGCATCATCATCAGCATCAGCATCATCATCATCATCAGCAGCAGCAGCAGCATCCTCATCATCATCAGCAGCATCCTCGTCATCATCATCATCGTCATCCTCATCATCATCCTCATCATCATCATCAGCAGCAGCATCAGCAGCAGCAGCATTCTTAGCATCATCATCAGAAGCACACCTGACCGGTAATTTGAAGCAAGCGAGGTAAGAAGCCCTAAGTGCAAGCGCTATTTGTGGAGCCACGTCGACTGCCTGATCGAAGCGTGTTCTTTCTTGCAGTGCGATGGGCGTGCTTGCGTCTGCTGACCGTGTCAGGGAAGTGAACTTATTGGCCACGCATGGCGTTGTGGACAGTTGGGGCTCCTTGGGTTTGCCCAGAGCTTCTCATCCCTTGCTTGCAATGTCAGCGGCCGCGAACTGGAAAGCGGGACGGCAGCGTACAGAGTTTGATGGCGCATTCGTAACATGCCAAAGTTCGCTGGCCCCTGGAACAGCACGTGCCAAATCGACCCTTGCGTTTCCTCCCTAGCGCCAGGTGTCACCTCGAAGAAAGGCAGCACCCTCGCAGTCATCACGCAGAATTGGCGGAGGGCGGTCGTCGGTGAGCGGGCTGTGTTTGTTTGTATTCTCAGTGAAGGGGGAGGTAAAAAGTAGCGCAGTGCTTGGACGAAGCTGCTTCTCGCCAGCGGCTCGTCGGGTGTATGTTGCCTCTTGGCGTTCTTGCTCCAACCTGTGTGGGTGTTTTCATCCAGCTCTGCATCGGGCTTCTGCCGGGCATTTGGTCAGCCTTGCACGAGCGATGGATTTGCACAGACAGGAGTGTGAGCGGGGTGTCCCACACGAATGCGTGCATGCACGAACTCTGCGGTCACGCGATATATTGCGAACCATCTCATCCGGCGTAGCTCTAATGATCGTGGCGTCGGGACCCGATGACCTCGACCCCTGCCCCAGGGCCAGCTCGTCGCCCTCGGCCGCTGTTCGACGGCCCCAGGCCGGGAAAAGGCTTCCAGATGCCGGAAAAGTTGGCACACGCACGTGCCGAAGACGACCTCCAGATCCCTCTGCGTTTCGTTGCGCCGCCCGGATCCGGGGTCGGCGGCGCGCCCCGAGTGGAAGTGAGGGGGGGCAGGCCTTCTCAGAAGGTGGCGGTACCTCTCGGCAGCCCTCGCGCCGCCCGGGAAGCCGTCAGTGTCTTCGGCGAAGGCTCAGAAAGTTTCTCAGGAGGAAGGCTGGAGGCCTCCGAAGCCTTCTGAGGCGCCCCGCCCCCTCCGCCTTCCCTCTTCTGGGCTCGCCGCCAGTGACAAGTCGGGCCTGCCCCTCTGCAGGAGGAATACTAGAAAATTGTCAAAAAGATAGTCCGGGGACGATTTTTGGGGGGCATTTGTCCAGCACGTCTGGTGTATGTTTGACGATTCTTCACCGTTCATCCAAAAGCCGCCGGTAGGGGGACACGCCCGACCTGACGCCAGTGAGAAGAACACCTCGGCCCTCAGCAAAACAGGGCTAGGATCGGGATAAATCGCTCCAGAGCGTTCCCGAGCGCTCTCAGAGCGTTCCGGAACGCTCTGGAGCGGCCGCGGCGCCCCATACATCCTCCAAGCCCGCCGGTTCTCAGAGATTTCGAGTTATCCCGATCCGATTGTGTCCCGGTCTTCGCGTCGTTTTACTCAGACCTCGGTCCGCCCGCTGGCCCAGGGATGGCATGTGCTTCTTCCTGCGGCCGGGGGGGCCAACGCTCGCGCGCGGCCGCTGGGGGCGGCGTGCGGACGGCGGCTCCCCGCCGAGAGAAAAAGCTGGAGACGCGCAGGGGGCGTTCCCAAACGAGGGCCTGGCCCTCGAGGATCGGCAGAGAGCTGTCACCTCCTCCTCCTCCTCCTCCTCCTCCTCCTC